GCAGGAAAAAATCTGTCTCCCTGACTATTAGTGATTTAGAATTTGGGGAGCAGGGATGGAGGTCTGATAAACTGGAGCTTTGGCTTCAGCCTGTCTGGCAGAGGTCTGTGGCTTTGGAGTCAAAGGTTACATGGCATGCGTGTGTGTGTGTGTGTGTGTGTGTGTGTGTGTCCACGCACGTGTGTTAATGAGAGCATTGCGGGGAGGGAGGGCTGGACAGAGAGACAGCTTCTGTGAGCCTGAATCTGCCATCCCAGTTCTGCTGTTCCATAGCTGTTGAATCTTGAACAAGTCAGGCTTCCGGTCCTGCCAGTTTCTCCCTCTGCAAAAAGAGGTGGAGTCATGTGATTTCCACCATCTCTTTTGCCTCTGCAAAGCCTGTGGCCTCCAGCAGTGGGTGTTCTCTGATGTGCGTGTGGTGTTTCAGAGAAGCACACAGTAACTTCACCTTTCTCTTTCCCTTACTTTGCTTGGGGACCAGAATTGTCTTTTTCAGTTATTAAAAAAACAAAACAGCTCCTCAATAGCCCTCCCTCCCCTTTCATCTTCCAGCTTTGAAATTACATGGTTTCTATAAGTATGCTGCTGTTGTTTTATTATTTATCTTGTGTGTATGATGCCAGGGTTGGTACCCAGAGCCTTGCACGTGCCAGGCAAGCACTCTACCACTGAGCATCCCAGCCCTGTTATTATTTATACTTTTGTTGTATGCTGCTTCACAAACTGAAAATTTGGGAGCTGTAGTTTCCTCTTTCTCATTCCAATATTTCGAGTGGAAACCAGAATCACTTTTGCATCATGTAGATGTGTGGAAATACAAAACGTCCCACCCAGGGTCCTCTGGCCTTTCTGCTAATAAGCAAATGAAATCTGTATTTTCTCCTTTCTACATGGCAGGGAATGTAACTTGTCCTGTTGCAGTGATCAAGGGCTCTTTTGCAAATTTGTTTTATTTTGCTTTCCTGAGCAAGCATGTGGCTTGCCATCTTGGGGTACGGCAGTATAAGCAATCTTCCCTTCAAGGGTATCACTTGATGGACAATGTGCTTGTTGTAAAGTTGACAAGAGAAAGACAAATGCTTAAAGGAGGGCATCCTCCTAAAGGATATTTAAAAGCCACGCCTTTAAGCGGAGTGCAATTCGCATGCCTGTAATCCCAGTTACTTGGGAGGATGAGGCAGGAGGATCACATGTTTCAGGGCAGCCTGGACAATTTAATGAGACCCTGTCTCAAAATAAAAAGGGCTGAGGTTCCATCCACAGTATTGCAAAATAAACATTTAAATAAATAAAATAAAAACTAAATAAACAAGAGCAAAAAATAAAGCCAAAACTTTTCAAAATGATAGGACAGGGACTCTACAGGTTTCAGGGGCATCCAGGAGGTAGTGGCAGGAGGAGTCGTTCTTAATGGTGACCACGTGACCATGAGGCACTGCCCAGCGGGTGGCCCACAAAACCTCCCTTCCAGAGATATTTCAGGAATTGCAGGTCATGCCTCATTAGTAGGTCATGAAATCAATTTAGTGGGTCATGGCCAGAAGTTTTTAAAGGACAAGAAGTAAATGAGACTAAAGCAGAAGAGAATAGAAAATATACTGCATAGCATGTAGGTCATATACTATCTGGCAAAACTTTGGTTTAGTTGCGTGTCCGTGCATGGTTATGTCGGTGCATGGGTGTGTCCACGTGCGTTAGAGATGTGTCTGATACAAAGTTCCAATGTAAACTGTATTTCTCACTGCAGCTATGACTAAAAAATTTCGAAGCCACCGTTAGTGCTGGCTTCAAAGGACTTACCCTGTTTTTTGGATAAAGTAAATTTACAAATAAAAGGAAAAGGAATTATTCCAATGTGAATATTCACCCCACAAGTCTCTGCTTAAACCATTCCTATATTACTCCGAATCTTTTTCTTCTCCAAAAACTACTTAAACGGAATCATTCTTGTTCAGTGTGAGCCCAGAGCAAACCGTGGAGTGAGTTCAAGATTTTCTTCCCTTTGGGGACACCTCCAACCTGCATAGGCACCTCAGTATTTGTATTTTTAAACCTTTCCTTTGTCAACATATATTTCCTCTGAAAGACTGATAAATTGTACTTCAAAAAAATGGTATACAGATTTAATATGCCTATTCCTAAAGGTGTTTATATTTTAGCCAAATATTTAACCCCATGCCATATAAAAAAATCTAATTGTAGAATTTAGTTGCAAAGGGAGAAAATTGTAGAAAGAGTATTTCCCCAGCACTCCTACGTTGACTAGCTATGTTTGCTTAGTAACATTCTTTTTCACATGTAAATAACATGCGTGATTTATTTCCTTGTGGATTTGTGAAATATATCTCTATTCTCTTTAACTGTCTTTATTTTAAAAAGTAATTAATGAAGCTATCCTATCACAGACTCTAAGAAAAAATACACTTTTCAGCTTTTATTTTTTTTTGCCCCAGTACTGGGGATTGAACCAAGGGCCTTTCACATGCTAGACAAAGTCACCACTGAGCTACATTGTCAGCCCATTGTTTTCGTTTGGGGCAGGGTCTCACTAAGCTGCCCAAACTGGTCTCAAACCTGTGATCCTCCTGCCATTACCTCCCAAGTAGCTTGGATCACAGGTGTGCGTGAGACCCCAACAGAATTCAACTTGGTGCTCACCTTATACCCAATTCAATGCCTAGCAAACTAAAGTCTTGAATTTATACTGATTGATGACTGCTAATGACAATACAATTGTGCTGTCCTGTAACACTTGGTAATATTGTTTCCCAGTGGCACACTACTGAGACTACATCTGCATGGTTTTTTTCTCAATATAAGATTGTATTATGTAAGTTTGCAGTTTTCATCATTAATAACAATTTAAAGAAAGCACCCCTTAAGGCTGGGGTGTAGCTAAGTGGCAGAGTGCTTGCTTAGCATCACAGGTACTGGGTTCGATCTCTAGCATTAGATAAAGAAAAAAAAAAAGACGCCAAGTGCACTTTACTGCGAGTGTAGCATACACCAGATTCCCCGTATTAGGTGCTTTACCTACAAATTCTCATTTTCTTTTTTCCTTGCAAAACCTTCTCAACTGAGTTTTGCAAATAAGAAGGGGACCACGAGGTAGGGAACATAAGAATTAAGATGAGTTATGTACATGGACCAACTGCCCGCAGCGAATGTCATCATTATGCACTGCAAAATAAAATAAAACTTGGAAAAACAAACACTTTCTCAATTAAAAGGACAACTATTCCCTCCACACTGTTCCAGGATGCCTCAAACCCAATTTCACAGATAGATGCCAAGGCTCAGAGACACTGACAGCCTGCCTGGGAAGATGCAGTAGTTCAGGGGGAAGACCTAATTCGAGCTGAGTTCTTCTAACTGCAAAGGCTGCTTTCTCCTCACTTCGACGTTCCGTAACCTTTCAGGTGTATCTAAAAGTATCATTTTTCCTTTCCCAGTACTCACTCCCTAAGGACAAGGTGGTGAATGTGAGAATACCAGGAAAGCTGCTTTTGCTGTTGCCGTTTTTGGTTTCTGAGTGACACAGGCTCTGACCACTGTGCAGTGGCTGCAGGCACAGAGCGGCTCTGTCCCGTGACGCCTACCTGATGCGATCTGCTTGTCCTCCACACTCCATGGTGATGTCTGCACCACCAGCCATCTTTCAAGGAAATAATAAAGGCCATGGGAATAAAAAACTGGGTATGGCAGCAGTCTTACCAGCATGCTGTGGTATTTCATAACTTCTTTAGATCCATTCACACAACTTTTTACAAATAGCAGTGTTTTAAGACTTCTATGAAAAGGATTATTTTCCACTTGCAGATAGCTCCCACATTCTCTAGTGCTTCTGTCTCCTGCACAGACCATTTTAAACACTAATCCTTTAAATTAAAAATCTGCTTTCCATATTTTCCATTTCTCAGAGATTTAAAGATCTCCAAAAAGATCACCAGAAGCCACTGAGATTTACCAGCCACATCTATCATGACAGCAAAAGCAAGAAACTGATTTTGTAGCAGAATATATTTAGAAGTCAATCTATACTTCATTTTTAAATCAGGGATGAGCCAGGCAAAGTGATGGATGCCTATAATCTCAGCACTGAGGCTGAGGCAGGATGATCGCAGAGGCAGGTCAGCCAGGGCTACATGCTGAGTTCAAGGACAGCTGAACTACACAGTGAGACCCTGTCTCAAGCCCCCTACCTAAAAAAAGAGCTTAAATTAAGTCAGGGATGAAATTACACTCTGCCAAATGTGGCTTGGTAGCCACTCAGATTCCAAACTTCTAAATAACTTTCCCATATTAATTCAGTCTAAAGTTTCAAGAAATAAAATAATTATGTAGTTAACATAGATCCTTATACAAACAAGTACTGTGTTTGCAATGTAGCAATCCATTAAAATAAACAGCAGACACACATCATGCGAGCTAAAACCCAAGAGAAGTAGACTAACACCGTTTGGCATTCCCTATCTAATGACAGTAAATACTCTATTGGAATCTGCTCCAAAAACAAAGGCTTTACCACTTAATGTCAAGGTAAACAGGTAGTAAATACCTACTTGATACTACTAACCAGTGGTATTTGCATTCTTTAGGGTGTAAGCACACTAAATCATTGGCATTTTTTTTCCTTTGAAAATACTTTCAATGAGATACCATTTAATATAGCTCATTACTTTTAACTTTAAAAAATACATTGCCAGGTACTGTTAGACATTAAATTTGTTTTGGCCAGGAACCTTCTGAGTTCAAGGAAATATATACATTCTGCTATATAGGAAAAAATCTGCTTCATATAGATTTTGTGTTAAATGCCATCCCTCAAATTTAGAGCTACACAGAATAAAATCCATAAAGTTAAGCCACAATAATCCTGAATGATGTAATGCTCATAGAATACCTCTACTCTGCAAATCATACAAAGAAGAAAAGCAAAATCTATTTTCAGCACCAAAACCATATTAGGATATTATGAGTTGTAACAGCTGTGAGCATACCTTAAGTTCTCGGAAGAAGATGCTACTCCTGGCCCACTCAACAATGGAGAAGAGGGTTTGGTCCGCCATTTTGCACATCAGCCCAAATGTGCTCAGCTTTTCGTGCTTGCTGCGGTTAGCCTGCTCTTGCTGCAGATAGGCCATGATTTTGGCTTGCACTTGAGGCTCGTCTGGCTCACACTTTAAAAGTTCCAGTATCAGATGTGGGATGCTTGCTGGAGAGCTGGTCTGGTAACCATCCATATAGGAGTAGCCCATGATGGACTCAGGAGAGCTGGTGTAGGGGTCTGGGTACTCAGACTTGATGGCCCTGCTAGGAAAATGGCCATATGTTTGGTAACCTTGCAGGCTGCCATGAGGTGGCATTGTCATGCTAATGGGGGATGTGACAAAAGGACTTCTGTCATAGTCTGTAGGAGGCAAGGCAGCATGGTTCAGAGGTAGGCCTTTGGAGGCAGAGTGGATGTTCTGAATTGCAGAGGAGATGGTCAGGTCGGAGGGCATTGCTTGGATCACCTGAGACATGGCTTCTAGCTTAAGTCCATTGGCTCGGATGAGGGCTTTTTTCTGTTGCTTCAGGGCCCTGTCTCTCTTATACATTGGTCCAAACTTATTCCTTCCTCCACGCATTCGGTCAGCTCTAACCGCTGTAGGGGAAAAAAAGAAAGGGAAGAAGGGTATGTAAATGAAATGTAAACTATTAGCATTCTCCAGGATCTCCAGATATTTGAAATGTTGAAAATTGAACAGAAATGGTTGTGTGGTTGTTTTCATTACAATAGCCCACAAAGATTCCAAGAAAGAAACAAAACAAAACAAAAACATGTCTTCTTTATTTCCCTATGAATTCTTCCAAGTGTATTTTGCTATCAAAAAATATTTTGAACAAAAAAAAAATTTTGAACACATAGGGGACATATTAACCTTTTTGTGAACGGAAGAAGTTTCACAATATCTGCTATACGTGGAGATATCTACTAAGAGAGAGCACACTTTCTTCTTTGGTTTCTTTTTCTTTTTGGGAGGAGAAGTTTGAGACAGGTTCTGGCTATGTAGCCCAGACTGGTCTCAAACTCAGGACAATCCTCCTGCCTCAGCCTCCCTTGCTGGGATTACAGGCGTGCACCACCATGCCCAGCTCATAGGAGTATAGTTTCTACAATGCCAGGCATGTGGTAATTCTTTATGGAATCCAATCTGCTTAGGGTTTTTGTTTGTTTTAGGGTTTTGGGGAGGAAAAGAATAAAACAAACCACTTCTGGATTAAATTGTGAATATTTTTTTCCTTAGGCTATTTTCCTCTCATTGAGCCATTTTGGCTTCATTGTAGCAAAAGTGTTGGGTACATGTCCTTCCTGGAAAATCATTTTCACCTGGACTTATTAAGTGCCTATAAGGTAACAATCAGTTATTGCTTTTAATTTCAGCAGAATTGGACATAATTAAAGCAAATTCCTTGCAAGGCTGTCCAGAGGTTCCTCTGCCACCATGTGTGCAGAGCCTCGGCCAGGCCTAATAAGGCAGTTAGCTGCTTCTCCAGGTACATAGTGGCCAATGGCAATCAGAAAGTGGGGGCCTCTGACAGCTTGTGACACATTGAAATTGCTGGAGGTTAAGTTTCTGAGCTTTTCATCTTAGGATTAGTACCACATTAAACATTTATTGTGAATTCTAGGTATGTAGAATGCTGCATGAGATCATAAAGAGTTTTTCATCTGGATGATAATTTATTGAACATTCAGTTGTCTCATAACCACTGTTAAGAAAGTATGAGTGTGCTCCATGAGATACTTATGTGCAATTAAAGCATGATTTCAAAGTAAAAAAGTGCAACTTTTTTCTTTTGTTTAAAAAAAAATCAAATGACATCATTTGAAATTATAGCATCTACTTTTTCACATTTTGTCTTCTAAGTCTCATATTGCAGAAAGCATCTACCAAAACTTTCTGCTGTTTAGTAAATAATAAAGTGACTGATAAGAAAATTAATAAACATCAGTTACTTCTTTTCTCAGTCTCTTCTTAAAAGCAATCAGTATTGACTTTAACAGTCCCCATGATAACCAAGGTGGGTTCTTCAGTACGGAAGGAATCTGCTAGCAATCCAGCAGATTTATTTGAATTTTTTTCTTATTTCTACTGAGTATGAATTCCAAATAACAAAAAGGCTCCAAATAGAAATAGCCTGTGCCTCACTGATCAAATAAAATGCAGTCTTGTATCTAGCACCATCAGAGAGATCTATCCCTTGTTATTACTTTATTTGCAGTATATTTAATCTGTGGAAAGCCAGTAGGTCAAAGGCTGAAAAACAGCAGCACGCTATAACAATCTATGAACTACAAATTATTTACAGCAGTCACATATTAACTTTGCAGCCTACCAATCTGAACACAGTGGTGTAGATTTTGCTCTTTCAACAAAGTTTAGTGTATCTTTTGAGGCTCCATCATTATCATCATTCTCTTGTTCTTGTCAAACCATTGCTACTGATTTAATAGTTATTTTTCCTGTTTCTTGCTTCTCATTTATTTTATTTTGCAGATACAGTCATTATCTTTCTAAGAGGCTGGGGATTTAGCTCAGTGGTTCTGCTGCCTGCCTCACAAGCCCAAGGACCCAAGTTCGATCCCCGGTACCAAAAAAAAAAGAGAGAATCATAAAAGAAACATGCATTCCTACATGACAAAAACATTAAATTCTAAATGAGAAATTTCTCTTCATAACTAATGACTAAATGTCACTCAAGAATCATGAAATTAATAACAATTATGACAACACATTTATTTTGAAGGATTGAAATCAAACTTCTATTATGAAATCCTGATTTGAAAATGTAACAGGTATCTTATTTTTTGTAATTTAACAAATTATTTTTGTGTTCAGTTGAATCACTTTAGTCTTGTCTATGAACTTGATTGTTTTATTGATCAAATATTTCTGCTTCCCAAATTTACAAGAAGGAACTTTAATATTTAAATTTCTTTCCTACTGGATGTTACCATGTTTAAATGAGACTCAGACTATTCAGCAGAGAAAACATAAAGCAACCTTACATTATTGTCAGTAGTGTTAAAAGTCTAGGAAAATAATGTTACTATGTTATAAGTAAGTACAGTGTTGTTCTAAAGTCATCATCCTTGGAGATTGTTAACAGGCAGTAGTAGTCTGTAGAAGAATCTTACCTTCTAGTTTCATTCCAACACTCAGACATTTTTGAAATCGACAGTAAGGACAACGTTTTCTCTGTGTTTTGTCAATTTGGCAATTCTGGTTTTCTATACATGTGTACCTTTTATTATTTTGGACTGTTCGCTTAAAAAATCCCTATAAGACAGAAAATAGTGAGACATATTATAAATCTAACACCATTTTTTTTCCATTGTTTCATTTTAAGGAAATCAGCAATAAATCTTTTCATTGTACCGTTGGAACCCTTATGTGGTTCTGTGGTTTATTTTACATTTCAACAAGATCAACCCTCCAAAATAGTGCCAGGCCATAGTAGAAATGTTTCTGGTCTCAGCTATGTTCCTGAAAAATTACGTCAAATCTTGGGGAGATTTGGCTACACACCACTTCATTCTAATAGTCAGAAAAAAATACACTCTGTATTGACCAGTGATTCTTTAAAAAAATCTGTTTTCCTATTAATCTTCATGTTCCAGACAAGAATACTCATGGAAGTCTACATTGTTTTTAAGTAGTCTGGTACAATTTCAGTGACAAACCATTGCAAAAATGCCAATGGAAAAACTGAATAACAAAATGCTTCAGGTCTTTGAAAAATGTCAACACTGGATAGTTTAAAGTAAAAAGATTTAAAGAGTAAAATGGGAAAATGCTCATAATTCCATTGCAATGCATTCAAGTATGAGAACTGTTTTAAAAAAGTGAAACTAATGGGAAAGAGAATATCACAAAACTGAATTATAGCAGAGTTTGTGTGCTCTCCTTATATTCACTCAAAAGGATTAATCAAAAATGAAATTTGTAACTTTATAATAGAATAACAGCTTTACTAAAATAGCATTCTTGTTTATTACTAGCCATGAAGGGAAATGATCTTACTTTGTTGCAGAGAATAAAGAGGTTTTATTGGCAATGCTTTAATTAATTGTACTGTCTTCTACTTTAAAAACAAAAATGTTGAAAAATTAGACACTGAATTAACTAGGACTAATACAAAGTTTGACATAAATCCTTAAAGTATCATTGATATTCGTAACAATAGAGTACCTTTTACATATTCAAATTCCTTGCATTTAAATATATCAGATGATACATTTTTAAAAACTCAGGAAACTAAAATCCTGTTTCTTGATCATTATGACACAAATTTCAAAAATCTTAAAAATTATTTCAGGATGAAATCACCTAGTTGGGAATTTAGGCTTTTAGATCTGTGGATTAAAAAATGCTTACACTTGTAGCGCAGAACACTCTGAAGTTAAAACCTATTTGGAAAGTACTTTGTTATGTTCCTTCTGAAGATCAACAGTGCTTTAAATATATGTAAGTCAAGCAAAATCAATATTTAGGACTGTTAGAGATGGAAACCTTTCTGCAGCAATAGCACTTTACTACAATGAAGTATTTTAAGGCCATGAGACTGGCAAAGTTTTCTAAACAGCATAAATTTCTTTGCCTTTGAACTCAATCAGAAACCTATTTCTAAGAATCATCTCCCTAAGACCAGCTCTCTCTCTCCCTCTTCATTTTTTGAGTAAAAAAGAAACAACTTCAATTTAGCCTTAAAAAGTAACTCAGTGGTTTCTTTTGGTCTTGAACATTGTATCTTTTCAGGTAGCGACATATGAGCAAACCTTGCAGCTTTCACAGGTGAGCAGCCCATAATGGTACCCAGACACTTTATCGCCACACACGGGGCAAAGCTCTTCGAGGTCTTCATCGTAGGAGTAATTCACCATTTTAAACTGAGACACTGAAACAAGAAAATGTACACAGGCGTCCAGTTAATTCACTACATAGGTTTCAATCCTGCAAAGAGCAGCATTTTGCCGATTGGTGGGCAAATATCACCAGGTAAGTTATAAAATAAAAATAATTTGTACCCAGGTAGTACTAAAGAGAACCATTTTTACACAGTGAAAGTAAAACCTTTCTGGGCATCAGTGAGCGTGCACTTCCCATTTTTTAACTTTAAACATAATTCCAACTTCTGCTAACATTTTACACTGAGCACTATTGAACCCGTCTCCTAACTCTGCAAAGCAACAAATCAGAAGAGAGACATGAACTGTGTAAAGCAGCATTTCCTTTAAGTTTCTGCAAAGTTAAGTTCCAAAATGTCACCTTTGCCCAAGGAGAGAAACAAGCATGCACATTACTCCTCTCCTATTGCTGTTCGCCGCCAGTACACCTGGCTGGTCAGGACAGCGACACCCATTTGCAACTGCGGCTCAGCGGAGGAAGGGAAGCCCCACAAATCTGCTTCTCAGCACAGCCCAACTTTAACAACAGCCTGCGGCTCCCGGGGCTCAGGTCTGTTAGATTAACCGAAACAATCAGTTTTCTATCGACAGTACTCCGGTGCGGATTACTTTCACCTCCTCGCGTTTAGAAATTTCCTGTGAAAATAAAAGGAAAAGAAAAAGAAAAGACACCCGACGGGGGTGGGGGAGGAATGCAGCAGAGGAAAAGAAAGACCCGAAGGTTTGGTTTCGTCGCCAATACTGAAGCCCCGTAATGAACCTCAGTTCCCGATCATCACTGCAGAGGGCTGCGCTCACTGCCCGGCTCGGGGAACCGCCTTGCGCGGGACACTAACCCGCCAAGCGTCCTCGCAGCTGAAAGATGAGCCACGCGCGAGAGGAGCAGGGCCTGGGGACCCCAGAGGTAGCCGGGCAGCACCTCCCGAGTCCCGGCGCTCGGCGCGGGCGGCTGGGGAGCGCGGGTGGGCGGGTACCGAGGGCGCCGGAGAGGTCTGCTCTGGGCTCCGCTCCCGAACCCCGAGGCGCACCGCACCGGCTCTGGCCCGGGCTCAACTTTCTGCTGCGCAGTGGAGTACAAACAGCAGGCCAGTTTGCTTTAAGTTAATCAGTGGCATCGCAGGGGGTGGAGCGGTGGGCGCCCGGGGGAGGGGTAACCACCGTCCCGCAGAAGTTTGATCTGATTTGTTTACCAAAAACGTGGAGCGGCCCCCCCCCCCCCCCCCGCCATCGCCAACCCCCGCCCCGACCACGCTATCACCACAGGGACCTCTGCCCGCGACGGATTTTTCCAATAAGGTTCCTTCTGGGGGCCTCGGAAAGGGCCTCTGGGGTAGGGGTGGAGGGTTTGTCCCTCCCAAAACACAGGGCCCCGGGCTGGGGCTGAGGAGGGGACTGGGCCAGGGTCTGGGAGGATCCCAGGGAAAGAGGCCGCAGGAGAGGCCAGGGCCTGGGCCGCGCGGAACAGGAGTGAGGGATGCTGAGCGCCGTTACCGGCGGGGCGGGCTCGAGTCCCGGCCCTCCCGGCCCTAAGAGCCCTGCCGGGTCTGGGGAGAGACCGAGAGCTCGGGAAGTTCGTTTAAGCCTTCCGTTTAGAGCACTCGGACAGCTCGTGACTACCGTCTCGCAGCGTGTTTTAGGGACAGGAAAAGACCGTATTTACCAAGGGTGTTCGTTCTTTCCTTCCTGCCCTTCGCGCAACAAAATAAACTCCTCACGTTACACCTAGGGGCGCCTCTTACAGGATTCCGTGCCCACTTCTGGGGTCCAACACCGAAAAGACCTAGTCCTGGGTGGGGATCCTCTTGAAAACTCAAAAAAGAGAGGCTGGGTGGGAAGACAGACGCGGCTGCGGGAGGCTGGGGCACCTTCCAGGGTCACCCAGTGCCCTGGTGCAGCGGAAGCAGGCGACCAAGAAGTGGCCGGTGCCCCCCGCGGTCTCCACCTGGAGAAAGGAGAGGACTACGGGCCCTGGAGGCCGGGCCTCCGCAAGGGGCACGGAGTTCCCGCGAGGTTGGGGACTTCTCTCTCCGGACTCCCCGACGGGGCGGACTGAGCGTGAGCCCGGCTGGAGCCAGGGCACGCGTGGGATGGGGTCCGCGACCCCAGGGCGATCCCGACAGGCAGGCCGAGTCCGGGGGAACCGCGCCCCGGCGCTCCCCTCTTGCTCTGGAACCCAGACCTGGGCAAGCCTTGGACGCGCGGCAGGCCGGCGCTCTCGCTTGGGGGCAGAAGGTAGTACCAAGAAGGCGCCTCCCGAAACGTCGCCGTGGACCCCCATCCCATTAAGCCCGGGGGCTTCCCGTCCTCTACTTCTTCCAGGGTCTCTCAGAAACGCCCGCGCCCGAACTCGAAGAAGTAGTTTTCCTTTGGGACCAAGGAGCGCACGGGCCTGAGCGGGCGGCGGGAAGGGAGCCGCTCCGGGCTGGCAGCAGTGGGCCCGGTCACACCTCGCTTCCGCCCCAAGTGCTGGGAAGAAACGCCTCTTTGGGCCAACCGGGTTCCTCTGAGGCCGGACCTGCCAAGTGGGTCTCCGGGGCTTCCTTGGCCCCGGCCGAAGGCCCGGCGAGACCCCAGGTCGCCGAGGGGGTAACTGGCCCCATGTGCAAAACGCACGTCCTCCCGCCGCCCCCTTTCCCCGGGCGATGTGGCCACGCCGGGCCCCGGCCTGAGCGTCCCGGGCGCACAGCCCTGAACTCTGCTCTCAACACCTCCCGGCCCTTTCAAGTTCGCGCAAGGGGATGGCAGGAAGCGCCCGGGATCACAGGCCCGCCGGGAAGGGGCGAGGGTGGAAGAGCGCCCGAGACCTTTCCTAGCATTGTTCCCACCCCGGCCCGGGGCAAACGCGATAAACTTCTGACGGGCTTAATACAAGCCAGATCTGGAGTTGCTATTTTGGAATGTGGAGAGAATATAGCCAGTAGGATTTTGTTTTTTTCTGTTGTTAGCAATCGAGAGCTGGGAAAACATGGGCCTTGCATAGCCACCGCTCTTGGGCTAAAGAAGGTGCAGTAAGCAAACAGCCCCCCACCCTGGACACTGCCCCCGCAGGGGACGCAGGGTCGGTGACTTTGGCTCCCTCGAGCTCTACAGTTTTGAAGCTGCCCGCACCCGAGCCGCCTCCGGGGCTCCCCGAGCGTGGGGGCTCCTCTGCCCTCGAAGCCGCTAACCCAGCCCTCGCCGGCAGCCGGCTTTCTGCAATTGCGCTTCCCGGGCAGCCCTGCCCCCCACGCGGAGTGTTAGGGCGCCGCGGTTGCAGTCCGGGGAGACCGGGGGTCCCCTTCTCAGACCCAGGTGTTACACTAGCCCGGCACTTCGAGCCTCAAGCGCCCGCGCTCCAGTTGCCTAGATCTCGAAGCCTCTTTTTAATTAGGAGCGGCCGATGAGACCTTCCTTGGAAGCGCTGCCGTACGGCTCGAGAGCCAGAAACTTTTCCGCCCGCCCCTGAGGAGGGGGCCCGGAGCCCCGCGCCTCCCCGAGCCCGCGCCCCGCTCCCCCTGCGCCCGCGCGGGCCGGAGGCTGCAGCCCGCCTCGCCGGCCCGGGGTGGAGAGGCGGCCGCGGCCCGCGCGAGCGCCGCCTTCCTTACCTGGCATGTTTTCCGGCATCGGCCCCTGTTCCCCATGCGATCGAGCCGGTCCCAGGGCTTCCGTCTCCACTTTGGGCAGCATGACCGGGCGGCCGCGCGCGGGACTGGGGGGTCGGGGTCGGTCCGGGAGCCCAGCACCTGGACACGGGCAGACAGCTCAGCTCCGGCGGGAAGAGGGAAGCGGCGCCCGGTGCCCGCTCCCCTCCCGCTCGCCGGCGCGCGCCTCCGTCCGAGCTGCGAGCCGGGACCTTGGGGCCCGTCCGGTCCCCACCGGGCGAGGGCCAGGAGCTCGGGGCTACGAGAGCAGGCGAGGACGGCGAGGTCCCGGCGCCCTGGCGCGGCACGGCGAGGGCATAGCTGCCGGCCCCGGATAGCGCGCCGCCGAGCTCGGGCGAGCGGTGCAGGCGCCGCGGGGCTGCTGCGGCCGCCGCTCCCGGACGGCTCGGGGACTCCTCCGCCCTCGGCCGCCCCCGGCTCCGGACGGCGGCGCGGGTCTCCGCTCTCGCGCGCTCTCCTCTCCGCGCCTCCTCCCGCCCCTTCCCCGGCTCTCTGCCTCCCCGCGCCCTGTCGCGAGTGCGAGTCGTCAAGGTCCAACCTCCCTCTCCTGCCTGGTCCGCTCCTCTGGCGCGTCCGAGCGCAGCCCCTTCCAGCCCCGAGGGTGACCGTGCGGGGAAGGACGCGGGCGAGCCAGGAGGAGGGAGGTAAGCAGGGCCGGGGGCCGGGTGGGGGAGCTGCGACGAGGGGCGCGGACGGGGAGCCCCGGCGCGGGTTCCGGACTCGGCTCGGACCCCGGCCGCCAGCCAATGAGGACGCTCCCTCCCGTCCAACCTCTTCACCCCGCCTTCGCCCGCTCCCACCCACCGTGGCCTGGGGCGGGGGATGTAGAGGCTGCTGGGTCTCACAGCTGGCGAGCGCCGACCTCTGCCTGAGCGCCTCGGCGAGGGCTGGGAAACCAGGGCGGCCTCGCTGCGAGCTGGGGAGCGGCCTGGGGCGTGGGTGGGCGTGGGCACGTGCCCTCGCGGGCTGGTCCCGAGCGGAGACGGAGGAGTCACAACACCCACTTCAAATACCGACCGGGGAGAAGGGATGCTGAGCTACTCTCCAGACCTGACCCTCAGCGCTCTTGGCCTGCAGCCTGGGCTCTTGCAGCTTCCTTCTCCCGCGAGCCGCAGTGTTTCAGAGGCCAGCGCGTGGGTCCCTCGCGCCTTGGAGGATCCGAGCGAGGGTGGGTGCTCCGTGAGGGGGCCGCTGTGTCCCTGAGACCCCACTTACTTGCTGGGGATTAGGGGAAGGGGCTGCCATTCCGCTCCCCGGCCCTGCGCTCTAGGACTGGGCTCGCCGTGGACCCTAGAGCCCGCGGTTGTCTCGGTGACAGACTTCCTACTTTCAGTGAATAGTAGTATTTCCATATAGAATGCAAAGATCTGCCCCAGCTTGCCTTTTCCTTTCTGGTGTCTCTTTGGTGGGACAGATCCACAGGAGGCCCAGAGGCTCAGCTTTTAAAAACAACCAAAAAAAAAAAAAAAAAGTTTTAAGGAACCATCTGTTAGGCAAGCTCTTCGGAGACCAGCCCAGCCACATCTCCAAAGTTTTCAGATCTCATCCCAACGAGATGAAAAACATTTTTTCCAGCCTCCTGACCATTCGAAAAGCCTCATATTCGGGGTCTGCCGTGCAATAGGGTAATTACCAGTCTACCCACAAGGGGGTGAATTTGAATCTCAAAAGATCTGAATTTATTCAATTTAAATGGTGTAGAGATCACACATTCAAACTGCTCGGTCTACTATTTGATGAATTTAAAGTGATTCCGACCATTGCAGTGCATAATTTACACTTGTATATGAAGTGAGTTGCACACACCCACCTACGCCTGGCAATTCAGATACTATTCACTCTGAACTGATCTGTCATTTTGCCTATCTTCAGAATCTAAATTTTAAAACTTCTAGCTTTAGTTGCATTTCAGTTCCACGGAAACACTTAAATCTTAAATTTAGGGAGGCCCACCCATTGGTTTGTGTTGGGGTGTGGGGTAAAGTTGCCAAAATTAGTGACCCTTAAGAGTCTCAGATTTTGATGATAACATCACCTTACAGTGTCAACACTGGCTCAGTGTTACCAGTGGAAGATACCACTGGTGAACTATAATTACATATCCTCACATTGCTCAGAAAGGCCCAGGGTTGAAAAAATTGTTTCTCCAGCTTTGCTCGAGAGTTTAGATGAACTTGGAA